GGAGAGAGAGAGAGGGAGAGGAGAGTGAGAGAGAGAGTTAAAAGGTAAAGATCTGTTCAGTAAAGAGGAAGATGTAAATGAGGGTCAGGGTTATGGGTGGCCCCCTGGGGAGTCTGGGCAGGCACATTCCCTCAGAGTTCTCTCTGCCTCTCCTTATACCTGGAAGAAGTAATTTATTTCAGGGGTTCTAGTATTACCATCTCCCTGGGTTGTGGTCTGGGTCCTATTTAATACTCCTCCCCCTACCCTAGGTCTATCCCCCTCACATCTTCATACACTCAACCCTTTAATATATATATCGCCTCCGACACACCCCACACTGGGGATCGAACCCACAACCTGGGCATGTGGCCTGACCAGGAATTGATGCTCAACCACTGAGCCATGCCGGCTGGGCACTGTTCAGATTCTTGATGAAATTTTATTATTCTATATAGAATGGGGAACTTACATCCTGGCAATCATAATCCTAACAGGAAACATTATGTATACATGCACTCAACCTTTGATCCCACCTCCAGGATCTTCGTGGTCTCCCCCACTCCCCGTGTTCCAGTGTGACACTCTGCAGCAGGCACGAGGGGCCATGCCCTGGGGGGTGGGGGTAGGGCAGTGGCCCAGGGTGGTTACTGCCCCAGCCCTGGCCCCTCTCCTATCCCACAGGGTTCTCGGGGCCCTTGGCAGTGAGTGGTGCCGAGAAGTGGCTGGGATTCACGCCCCGCTGGCGGGCTTCTTCGCGGTTGGCACAGAGGGCCTGGCCAATGAGGTATTCGCTCTCCTGGGCTACATCGGACAGGCGCAGGTCAAACTCCAGGAGCGTCTTGTTGTCTGACATGCCTTCCAGGAGCTGCTTCCCGCCGTCCTGGGAGAGGAGCACAGGGAAAGGGTCGTTGTTTACATCACTACCCAGGACTACACACACTTATATATGTATTTACAGAGAGAGGGGGCTGGAACGGGAGTTCCACAGAACAGTGCTCATCCTATTTGTGCAGCACACTGACATTTTCTCCATTCTGTCCTCTGTGAGCTGCAGCAGCCATCCTGGGGCCACACGAGGAGCCCGGGGGGGACACGGCGGGTGGCTGGGGCAGCAGAGCAGGGGCTGGCACCGAGCCAAGGAATTTCCAACCCCGGGACCCCCAACCCTGGGGCTTCTGAAAATGGGACATAATGAACGGTCCTCTTGTTGAAGTCAATTGCTGCCTAAGGTCTCTGTTACGTGCAGCCAAGAGCACCCCCGCTGGAGACAGTGCGTGTGAGCAAGACTATTCTTTGGGGGGTGGGGGGTGGGGTGGGGAGGGGTTGGTAGAAGATGCAAGGCCCTAAGTGGAGTACACAGAGGGCCCCGTTCACTACCCCTCATAGCTTCAGCCTCTCCCGGGGTGGGTGGGCTAGGCCCAATGTGAAAGAATTTCATATTGGGAGGCCGAATGCTGTTCTTCTATGGTTGTGACCCAATAGCATGTTTGTGGCAAAGTCGATGTAATACAGAAGCATTTATTTAAAAAAAATGAGGTAGACGATAAAGGAAAACATCAGCAGATATACCAAGCAGTTAACAGTACATTTCAATTATATTACATCCTTGTATATGTTCACCAGCTGTTCATAGAAACCGCATTTCTTACTCTGCAACTTGATTAAGGAAATTTGAGAGACATTTGTCTATTGGAAAGAACCCCAGCTTTTGATCAGTCCTGGGTTTAATCACAGCTTTGCCACCTCCTACTGATTGGATGCTCTCAGGCAACTCACTAACGCCTCTGAGACTCAATTTTCCATCTGTAAAGTGAGGTTAGGAATACGCATTTTACCAGATAACAGTGAGGGTGAGAGGAAAACAATGGCTATACCAAGCATAGTCTATAACCCTGAGTAACAGATAGCAATTACTAAAGACCTAGCCAGTACCTGCAATGGTTAATTGCTTTACAGTATAACTAATTTAATCCTCCCAGTACACTGTGAGGTAGATACTGTTACTAACCCCATTTTACAGATGAGAAAATGAAGGCCCAAAGTGCTAAATGGCAGGGCTGGGATTTGAACTAGGTACGGCTGTGATTTTAACAATCACCTGATAAGTACCCCATGACAGTTGGGTTCTACCCCCACCCCCAAGGCCCAGGGCCTCCCGTGGCCCTCCCTTCCCCAGGAGCTGTGACTCACCGGTCCTATGTGGTTGCAGGACAGGTTGATTTTGGTGAGTGTGGTGTTGACGGAGAGCACCTGGGAAAGGAGTGTGGCCGTAGGCTCCGACAGCTCGTTCCCACCAAGGTGCAGCGTGGTGAGGCACTTATTGGTCTGCAAGGCGTGGGCGAGTGCCTGGCCGCCCTCATCCTCAATGCAGTTGAGGCGCAGGTTGAGGGAGAGGAGGTTGGTGTTGTGTGCCAGGGCGTGAGCCAGCGACTGGGCGCCAGGCGCACGCACCTGGTTGTTGGCCAGGTTGAGCACACGCAGGCGGCTGTGGCTCAGCAGCTTGGCGGCCGCACGTGCGCCACGGTCCCCGATGCAGTTGTGTGACAGGTCCAGCTTCTCAAGGGCCGGGTGGTCCAGGAGGCTGCGAATTAGGATGCGTGCCTTGTTGTCATCCACCTTGCTTCGGGTCAGCCTAAACACCTGTGGGCAGAAAAAAAAAAGATCTGTGGGCAGGTAAAGGGTCCACAGCACCTGGTAGCCAGGGATCATCTGCCTGCCTGTCTCCTGCAGGTAGAAGAGAGAGCCGCAGGGAGGCCTGAGGTTCTGCTCACCTTGTGTTGGCTGCCTCGCTGGCCTGCCTAACATGGCAGAGTGGTGCAGAATTGCTGGCAGCTGGTAGGGGGAAAAGGCTACCATTTCCTGAGAAATGACTATGCGCTGGGCATGCTGCTAGAACACGTCATAACCATTATCTCCCAGCCTCCGCATCCCAGTGAGGTAGAGTGAGTCCTCTCCACTGTACAGACAGGAAATGGAGGCAGAGGGTGGGCGTATCATTTGCCCAGTCACACAGTGATTGAGCTGTGGAGGCAGGTTTTGAATCCAGGCCTGTGTGACCCAGCAGCCCCTTGCCGGACCCTCCTCAGCTGGCCAAGATCCACCATGGCAAGGAGAGGCACTCAGGGTGAGAACCAGGAGAAAGTGGGAAGGGTGAGAACCGGGAAATGGATGGGATGAAGTAAAGAGATAAAGAAAGGGCGTAGGGTTAGCGTTATGAACATGGGAGATGGGAGCCCCCATCCCTTTCCTTCTCACTGACTTGTTCCACTCCTCCCTCTTACTTGGAACCTCGGAGTGGCTGGCCTGTTTGATCCCTCCCTATCCACTAGTCCTCTCCTTTCTTACACCCCCCTTAGCCAGCGGAGAGTCTTTTGTTTCTCACCTTTTCATTGCATCTACCTTGCAAGGCTCCAAGCTGGGTCCAGCCCACGCTCTTATTTTCTGCGTGTCTGTGCCTAGGCAACTGACATGATGGAAAATGTCTCGTGACAGCCCTAACTGGTTGGCTCAGAGGATAGAGCATTGGCTTGTGGACTGAATGGTCCCAGGTTCAATTCTGGTCAAGAGCATGTATCTTGGTTGTGGGCACATCCCCACAGGAGGCAGCTGATCAATGTTTCTCTCTCATCGATGTTTGTAACTATCCCTCTCCCTTTCTCTCTGTAAAAAAATCAATAAAATATATTTTTAAAAGAAAGAAAGGAAGGAAGAAAGAAAGAAAATGTCCCGTGACAGAACTGGATGGTTTCGCTGGAACCACCAATAGCCCTCAATGCTGTGTGCTCACTCAACTCTGTTTCTCTGGCCAACGTATTCTCTCATAATCTACAATACTTTCAGCCTTCTCCAGCCTCCTCAAACTTCAAGAGCATGTATCTTGGTTGTGGGCACATCCCCACAGGAGGCAGCTGATCAATGTTTCTCTCTCATCGATGTTTGTAACTATCCCTCTCCCTTTCTCTCTGTAAAAAAATCAATAAAATATATTTTTAAAAGAAAGAAAGGAAGGAAGAAAGAAAGAAAATGTCCCGTGACAGAACTGGATGGTTTCGCTGGAACCACCAATAGCCCTCAATGCTGTGTGCTCACTCAACTCTGTTTCTCTGGCCAACGTATTCTCTCATAATCTACAATACTTTCAGCCTTCTCCAGCCTCCTCAAACTTCAGGGGTCACCCCAAAGCCCCCTCTCAGCAGGTAAGTGTCCTCCTGCCTCCCCAGCCATTGGATGGGAACCCCTCATCTTCCTATACCGAACACAACATCCCACCACACCAGCTTTTCCCTCTGCCCAGGGCCGACTGCCCCATCTCAGTCCTGGATCCCACCCTCCTGCCTTCTCAGGAACCTTCCACGGTCAATGAGCCTGTACCCTCTGTCCTGGACTCAACCCATTTCTTGCGATTGGATGGAAATTTTCATTGGTTTTAAACACATGCAAGTTTCTCCTTAAGAAAGCCCACCCCACCCCCCGTCAGCTATTTCTACTCTACCTTCTTCCCCTTTCACAGCCAAGTTCTTGAAAATGTTGATCACTGACATCCAGTTTCCTCACTTCCCGCTCTCTCCATAAACCACTCCGGCACGCCGATCTGGCCTCTGCTCCTGGCACTCCACTGACAGAGCTACCCCTCCCCCAGGAACCGCCACATTTGCTAAGTCCAGGCCTCAGCTCCACTCCACCCCATTGCTGGTCACCTGCTCTTCTTCCTTTTTTAAAAAATATATGTTTATTGATTTCAAAGAGGAAGTGAGAGGGAGAGAGATAGAAACATCAATGATGTGACAGAATCATTGATTGGCTGCCTCCTGCACGCCCCCCACTGGGGATTGAGCCCACAACAGGAGCATGTGCCCTTGACAGGAATTGAACCTGAGAACCTTTTGTCTGCAGGCCAACACTCTATCCATTAAGCCAAACCGGCTAGGGCTCATTCCTCCTCCTTCCTCCTCCTCCTCCTCCTCCTCCTTTTTGTTACTCCTCACAGGAGGAGATTTCCCCATTGGTTAATAGAGATAGTGGAAAGGAGAGAGAGACAGAAACATGATGTGAAAGAGACACATGGATTGGTTGCTCCTGCATGCGCCCTGACCAGGGCCGGGGATCAAGCCACAACCGGTATGTGCCCTTGACTGGATTCAAACCCGGGACCCGTCAGTCCGAAGACCGATGCTCTATCCACTGAGCCAAACCAGCCAGGGCTCACCCTCTCTTCCTGAGACACACTCCTCCCTGGGCTCACACAAGCCGGTGTCCCCTTTTCTTCCCTGATTTCCTGGCAGGCTCTCCCTCTTCCAACCAGAATATTTGGGACATATTTATACTAAAAAATCATTCAATATGTATCTGGAATTCAAATTTAACTGGACGCCCTTTTTTGTAATTTTTTCTTCTTCTAAATCTGGCAAATATCCTAGTTGCAGTTTTACATTCACATGATTGCTGATTAGTGTCTTTCATCGCACAGACGTTAACTCTAGAGGGCACAAGTGGTATGATTTTGCTCAATGCGGAATCTTCAGCACCTAGGACAGGGCCCGGAGCGCAGATGTTTGTCGAAGGAATAAATAGCTGGTGAGCTGGGAGGGCAGTGCCTCCCTCATCTCTGCATCACCAGAACCCGGCTGGGTGCAGGGTGCATGAAAGGACACTCGAGCCCTAACCGGTTTGGCTCAGTGGATGGAGCGTCGTCCTGCGGACTGAAGGGTCCCAGGTTCGATTCCAGTCAAGGTCATATACCTTGGTTGTGGGCACATCCCCAGTAGGAGGTGTGCAGGAGGCAGCTGATCGATGTTTCTCTCTCATTGATGTTTCGAATTCTCTATCCCTCCCCCTTCCTCTCTGTAAAATTATATATATATATATTAAAGGACACTGGATCAGTGACTAAGAAAAGGAGAGGAGGAAGATGAGGAGAGCTGGGGCACAGAAGGTGAGAGGGGATCAGAGAGATGCCGAGACTGGACGCGGGGCAAGGCCGAGGGGCAGGCAGTACCTTCAGGGTGTGGCAGGCCTTAATGGTCGCCGCCAGCGATTGGCAGTCACGGTAAGTGAAGAGAAAGAGGTTCCACTCAAAGTTCATGCCACAGTCCTTGATGCCGTACACCAGGTCCAGCTCCTCCAGCTGGCTCAGGCCCGCCACCAGCTCGCCCAGCTGGTAGTGGTCCATGGAGGGCTCCTCCATCTCTCCCTCGCTGCCCGAGTCCGACTGGTCCCCGCTGTGCGGCGGGGGCCGCAGCTGCACGGGCGGGAGGAACTGGTCCACGCGGATCCTGCGCACGTAGTTCCTGCAGAGCGGCAGCAGGCCCAGGATCACGGCGGGGTCCGTGGAGTCCGGGATGAAGTGCTTGATCAGGTTCTCCAGGTGCCGCTCGAAGAACAGGCGTTTCCAGCTGCCGCCGTGGCAGTCCAGGTGGCACACGGGCCAGCGCTGCTCGCAGCAGCGGTGCCAGTAGTTCTCGTCGTCGATCAGGTTGGCGGTCACGGCCAGCGGCAGGTCCGGGGGCAGCTGGCGCAGGACCTTCTGCTGGTGCTCGGGGAGCAGCTGCGTCAGGATCGGGTTGTCTTCGGGGACCGAGGGAGGAAAGCCGGAGTCACAGTGTTGGGGACACCCCCCCCCCACCATGGGGCCCTGGGCTGGGCCTGCCTGGGGGCACTGCGGGAAGGGAAACCCCTCCCCTGCCCTCAGGGAGCCGGGACGGAGAGGGAAGGCAGACTTGGCTCCCAGGGAGGCTTCCATCTGAGGGGCAGACACAGCCCCTGGCTTCGGGGCCTGCCTTCCCTGAACGTCAACATCTGACATCGCAGCATCTGGCCGCAGGGAGCTCCCGGTCTGAGGAAGAATCTCAGGCCCACCCTCAGTCATCACTTAGTCTGATGGAGGGACAAGTCCTGACTTCAGAGGCTCCCAATTTGATTTGCTTCATTCATTTCAAAATTTAAAAAAATTTTTTTTGAGGGATTAAAAATGGCAGCAGATTTGTAAAATCAGAACTAGAGCAGTGAACTCGCTTCTTTCACCGCCCCCCTCTGTCCTCTGCATCCAACAAAACAAAACAGGCGGAGAGGTGGGGAGGATGGGGCAGGAGTTGGCCGAAGACAACCGCCCCTGCCTTGACTTTTCCAAACAAGTCTGAGCCCTGGGTGTTTTCCTGGAATCTTTATGCTTAGTCTTCAGACGGCCTTGCTTAAAGGACACTGCAGACGCATGCGTCTTCTCAAGGATTGCTTACCCGACTGATAGTATCTAATAGTTAATTTTAGTTCAAGCTGTTGTTACAATAAAAGCCGAAGGAGGCAGGCAAATGGGGATGTTTGGTTCCTCTAGCCAAGCAGTCCCTTAGCCCTCTCTTTCATAATAAAATAATAAAATAAATAATAAATAATAAATAAATAAATAAAACAAAAAATAAATTTTTGTGAGCACCTACTATGTGCCAGACACTATTCTAAGTGCTGAGGGTTCAAGAGTGAATGAAATGAAGGAAGCCGCTTCTTCTTATGAGGGGAGGCAGACAATAAACAAGTGAAAGGAATATATTATAGGTCAGGTAGTGATAGATGCCATAGAAAAAAAGATGGCCCTGTCCTCAGAGAGCTCCCCATCCAACTTGTCTTTGAAAAGGATGAACATTTACAGTTCACAGAGGGCAGAAAAAACCCAAGAACCTATACATGCCACAGAAGACTCCAAGAGCGTAAATAAAGGTCAGTCAACCAGGGAGGGCTTTCCGGAAGAGGCGGTCACTAGGGTTTGGGCTGGGTTTTGTTGAAGAGAGTGGGAAAGGTGAGGAGAGGGCATAGGCATGGAGGGTATGTTGCGGGCAGGAGTCTAGTGGGGCCAGGAAGTGGGGACAGCAGGAGACACTGTCCTGGCTGCAGGGGTCAAAGGGAAGTGCTGTGTGGGAGGGGAGGGGCTGCCCAGGACCCAGCCTCTGAGACCTCTCCTCCAGGCTGTCCCCATCCAACCTGCTCTTGGCTTCTCCCGCCTGCTCCTGGCAGAACAGACTCACTCCGGAAGTTCTTGACAATGTGTCGAATGCAGAGATCTGTGAGCAGGGGGACGATGGCCAGTGACCACTCAGCATCCTCGGCGATGATCCTGCGCATCAGACGCACATTGGGCCCCTGATTTGGGCCCCTGGACTTCCAGGCGGCGGGGGAGCTCTTTGTGAACTTCGAGCCTAAGCTCGAGGGTTGGCCTGCAGCTTGAGGCGCGGTTGACGCTGTTGTTAGGGTTTCCTGCATGCTCATGACTGGCAACCCAGGGGCAGGTGACCCCGTGGGGATGGCCTTGTGACAGGAAGTTTCTCACACTGGCAGGTCCTTGATGCTGGTGGGAACCTGGGGCCAGAGGAAGGGGTAGAGGTGTTACTTTGGAGGGTCTTGGTGGGCATTTATCAAGAGAGAGAGCACAGAGTGGTTCTTAAGGGTCAGTCTCTGGAGGATAGCAGATCCAGGTGCAAACCCCGTTGACTAGCTGTGTGGCTTTGGGCAAGTTACTGAACCTCTCTGAGTTCCAGGTGCCTTCTCCGTGAAATGAGGATGACAGTTACCGATAAGATGATTGGGAGGAGGGAATGCACCTAGAGAGGCATAGTATATGTCAACATATGAAACTGTAGCAAGGAACAGCCCCGTATTTTAGATAATGATAACGATATGGCCAGTCCAAGCAGTTGCTGTATGCTGAACACTCTTCTTAGAATGCATATTGACTCATGTAATCCTGGCAATAGCCTTTTTGAGATAAGCACTTACATTATTCCCATTTTTCTGATGTGAAACTAAAACACAGAGAGGTTAACTGACTTGCCCGATGTCACACAGCTTAAAACTAACAAGAATGGGCCCTGGCTGGTTGAGAGCGGCATCCCAGGCACCTAAAGGTCGTTGGTCAGATGGATGTTTCTCTCTCGCATTGATGTTTCTTTTTCTCCTCCCTTCTTCTCTCTCTAAAACCAATAAAAACATATTTAAAAGCAAACAAACCAGAAAGGACCTAAATTCAGTCTATCAAGTTCACATTCTTACCCCTACATTGTACTGCCTCTCTGAGGGTGAGTGATGGGTGTGT